ATTAGCTGCACTTCCCTTCAACCTATAAACCTGACCAAGTCACTCTTAAGCCAAAAAAAAAAAAAAAAAAAAAAAAGAAAAGTAAAGTTCTTTTTACTCTTCTCCTTTTGTCAACCTCTCTTTTATCCAAACCTTTAGGAAGAGTACACTATACTAACTTACCAATACAACACAACTCCTTTTATCACTTTTATCACTAGATGGCTCCCAGCTAAACCATTCTACTGAACACATACAGACTGGGCACTTATTGTATGTATTTCTAAATGGATCTGTTAATTCATTACTTGATCTAATTCCTTTTCTGAGTTCTACTGTACCATGCTCTCCCGACTCTGTGGTTTCAACTTAAGCTATACTGCCTTAGAGGTACTTAGTATCTGTGCACTCTCCTTCAGGTACTTAATCTCATCTCTGTCATACACATTAACTATCTCAGAGAAGTGTTATTTTTTTTAAAGATTTATTTATTTATTTATACAAGAACTGGGGTACAGGCCAGATTCACGGGAGCGTGAGAGGATTCACCAGAGACACAGTGGGGAGCAGAACAGGCAGACTTTCGAAATACACTGCTGAGGGGAGCAGCCGGCAAGACAGGAGAGGTCTGCTACGACATGTGGGACCCTTGCCGGCTGGCCGGGGATCGAACCGGTGCTGCAGAGGCTGAGGACAGCTTCATAGCACAGCGCTCAACCGCCTGTGCCACGAGGGGAGGACCAGAAATGTTATATTTTTAAGTAACTTATTACACATAAAGCGCTCAGAATAGCATAGGGTACCTACTAAGCACTAAATGAAGAGCTCAGTAATTATTACTTTTTTTCCTGATGATATTTAGCTCATCTTTAGAGTTCATCTTTTTTTTTTTTCTTATAGGAGGGCTTCCCCACTTGCTTCCAGTCTTCACAATCTTTTTACTGACTCATTCTCCAAGGAAAGCTACAGCAGTTGGAAATAATACTGCACTGTGACTAATTGAAAGCTGACTGAGCTCAAATTCAGACTGATTTCACAGACTGTTATATTATGCAAGTAACTGATGTCTAGATGCTTCAATTTCTCTAGTATGAAGTGGGAGCAATGAAAGTATTTACTTTATAAGCCTATTCCAAGGATTAAAAGTATATACACACAGTCTTAGGACTGTGTCCAGCATAGAAAATGATATATAAGTACTGACTGTTACTATAATCTTACTTCTATTATCTCCAGGAATGTAATGACTATTTCTCTCCATTGGCTTTATAGTCCTGAATATTCATATATCAGAGGACCAGCTTCATTTGATTGCTTTACAGGAGGCTCCAATTCTACATGGTTAAAAATATACTTAACACATCTCTCCAAAACCTGCTATTCCTTCCCTGTATTTTTTGAATTGTGTTACGACACCATCATCCACATAGACAAACAAGAAAGGAACATGCAGATCATTTTCAATTACTTCTTTTTGATCTCAAATATAAATTCACTTAATGTTATCCCATAAAAACTAAAATATGTCTTCCCTCTTTTTTCATTTCCTACTCATTTCTGGACCTCCATTTCTCATCACACATCTACATATATTGTATTGTTTTTCATCTTCATCATATATGCTTGTACCATTCTGTTTCTTAGTTAACTTCTACTCAAATCTACTAAGACATAGTTCAAATGTCACCTCTGGTGCAAGAGTTAGTTTTTTGTTTGTTTCAACAGAACTTGTAATGAACACAATATATAACGATTATATCTATTTATATTCTTGTATTCACTACAAGCCTATAGTCTTCTAAAGGGCTAAGTTTCATTACCTGTTAATGTAGGCTCTCAGCAAGTATTTATTGAATTCAAAACAATGAATGCAGAAGGTATTTACAAAGTAAATCAGAAGACTGAAAAAGTATTCTACCTGAGCTGTTAAATAGCCTTTACTATTCTCAATAATAAGACACAGTATACGTGAAACACACTGCTATTATGTGTATGAGGCAGAGAGCTGCACATAATTTGATGATGATGGTATACTGCACATTTAGAGTCAAGGTTATATCACTGTACATATAGATTTAAGTCTCCATTAGCTCAGCAATTACCTGCTTCTACCTTTATCTCCACCTATTACTATATATTCTTAATAACCTAAGTGATATTTTTAAAACAAAATTTTGATCATTTTATGGCTCTGCTGAAAACTACCCAAAGACTTTTTATTCAATTCAGAACAAACACCAAAGCCCTTTAAAAGAAACTTTAAATCCCTGCATGAACCACTCCATCTTTGAATTATAGTTTATTACTCTCCCTTCTGTTCATACCTCTTCACTCATAGTACCCTACACTTGGATTTTCTTTGCATTTATCAGGCCCATTGATATTTCAGGGGTCTTTGTACCTGCTATTTTCATTGTTCAGAAAGTTCTTCTCCAGAGCTATCACGTGATCTATTTCATATCCTTTTTCAGTTTTTTTTTTTTTTCAAATGTCACTTTATTGATGCCTCTCAAGTAAGAATTTCTATGAGCATGCCTTTAAAACTGCAACCTATTCCTTCAAGAAATCTGTCCTGGATTTTTCTCCTTATCATCATCAGACACAATAAATATTGTTTTTACTTAGTCATATCGTCATCATAATCATCATCACCATTGTCATCTTTTTCTGTTCTCCAGAATACAACTTATATAAAAGCAGGGCATAGTGAGTACTCAAATAAGTTCCAAATGATTAAATAAAGCATTATTTTAGCTAAAATCCCAAGAAAATGTTATAGAGTGCCCATTTTTATATCTATATAGACTCAAATGATAACTTATTTTGATATAGAATTCCTCTACCAGCAGACACAGAATAGACACTTGAAAAGGCAATGTAAGAATAGAAATACATTGGTATATACATTGTATAACAAATTCTTGGCATCAGTGCTTAAAGAAGAAACTGTTAAATTATTGGCAGGTTCTCACACATCTAAGCATGAGGTATAGCACCTTGGCTACCAAGGTTGCAGCAGCATGCTTCATTAAATGAACATGGTCTTTTTGCTTTGTGCATGGAGCATAAAAAATCAATTTTTATGAAGTCAGCAATCATATATTTTTGTATATACATACATATATAGAGAGAGATTGTGAATATATGAATTTACACACACACACGGCAATTTCAAACAAAAAACCAGGTATTTTCTGATAATGATACAATTTCTAATGCAGAAAGTGAATCCAAAATTTGAAATATCAGTAAATATATCAGATAGGGAAATTCAAACATAGTTGAAGAAGGGACTGAAAATTTGGGGAAAGAAATTGATTATATCAACAATACGAAAAAGCAGTTATAATTGAACATTGATGGATCCGGTATGTCAGAATGATTTGGTAAAGATTTTCAAGTGAGACAGATTATGATGAGTTACAAATTAGACACAGAGCCTGCTTAGTGATGAAAACCACTGAAGAAAGAATTATTTCTTTGTTTTCTGAAGCCATTTAACTGGAAGAATTATAGACTACTCCCAGGTCGCTCCTGCTAATTGAGTTATGATGGAATTTTGAAGAATGTATCACCTCAGATTTGTGGAATGGAAAATAGTTTAATACTAAATCAATACTTTATTTCAGTGTGATATTCTGTAATACTTTTTTGATACTTGTTTATTCTTGTGACATCGTGAAAATTTAGGAGAATTTTGCTTTCTTGATTGCATTTCCAAATTTAATAGCCTTAGTTAAGGTGAGGTGACTTCCTCTCTAATGTCTATCCTGAGGATCCTGGGATTTACAAATTTAATGATCTCCCAACTCTAATGTACGTATGAATGAAAAACATCAGATTTTTAGTTTTGTGATAGTTTGGGGGAAAGGTATAAAAAGTTTAAGATGTTCCATGTTTGGAATCAGTCCTTTTAGCTTTCAATGAGAAGCCTCTTGTTTACCAAAGCCAAAAAAGAGATTTCACTGATTCACTTTCTACTCTATCCTGAATGTACTTATTAGCTCTCTCTTGTGTGCTAAAATAAGTCTCTCGAATTTCTTTTTCTTATTCTAGTTGCAAAATTCTCTTTGCCAAGGGCCATTTTGTCAATATTTGCCAAGATCAATGTCTCATTAATATAAATTTTTATTCTTCTACTTTCTGTTTTGTCATTACACTTTTGTGAAAAATGAGTTCAAAATCCACATCCACATCAACAATGCTTTATCTTCCTCCCTAACTGCTTTATTCCCTTGATCCCTCCCTATTTATAACCAGCTCCCTAGACTCCATTTTTTTTCCCCTAGTAACAGCCTTTGTTCTGGACATGTGCTCTAGATACTGCCTATCCTTCCATCTATAAAAGTAGCCTAAATCATTCCACTCCCATTATTTAGATGATTATAGAAATAAAATCACCACTAAACCTGCTAAAAAGAACAAAAGAGCTGATGCTTTCCTTTGTTCCCAGGAGACTCAGTAGAGTCCCTGTTTTGAATTCTCATATGACTTAATAGATTTAAATTAAACAACTAGTTTAATACTGCTACTGCTGGTGTTATTTGAATTCCATTATCGACATGTCTAATATATTGGTGTTAATGGTGTCTAAGTTTGCTACAATGGTGTCTAGAAAATTGCCTTGGATAATAAAATTTAAAACAATCATTTTGAAAATGTGACATTAAAATCATGAGCTCTAAGTGTCTTCTGGATAAAAATCCAATTTTCAAGATCCAAATTATATCTATAACATATACCGTATGTTATCAGATCTCTCTCTCTCTCTATATATATATATAGATGTTATCAATGCAATTTATATGCATATTGTGTACAAATATAAAAATATATGAAATCTAAGTATATAAATATTTAAATTTTTAATGTAAACCATATATATAAAATATACCCACTTTTTAAATAAAACATGCAGAGTACTAAAGACTTTAATTTTTAAACACACAAATAAATCATTATCTAATTACTAATTATAAACCATATGCACACCATGACTTAAATACACAACTATGAATTACCTCCTCTTTTCTTGCGTCACGTCCTTTCTGCACAAACCAGATAACTTTTGCTTGTAAAGACCGTGGGGTACATTCCAGCAAAGTACTGTTGTTCTCTATACCATAGGCCAACCGCTCTTCAGTCTTATCCAAAGCATGTCCTACAACATGAATACTAATGTCAGCCTTGAGACTTTGATTTTACTGGTAAATCAGTTTTTAAAATATTATTCACATCCCTGCAGCATAGTAACTTTTATTACTTATTGCTATTTTTTATGCAAGGTCATTTAAATGAGTTATTTGAGTGGTATACCAAAATCTAGATATTAAAAACAACAACAACACAGCAAGCTATAGGTTAGGGTATGGGGTGGGGTCAAAGTAAGTAACTAGGAGTTTGGTTTCAAAAAATGAGATTGTCAAGACTTTAGAATTTGCCTCAGTGCTATATTCATGAAAATCAATGGCAATATCCATAAAGCAGACAAGAAAAGGTGAGCACCAGTGTTCCAGCTAGGCAAAGGAACAAGTTCATGGTTACAAATAAAAGCAAAAAGCAGAAATCTAGATGATATGGCACCGTATGGACACAAGTATGAGTGATATCTTGACAAGGACTGCAGTTAGCCAGATATTGGGTTCCTGGTAAGAAAAGAGTAGAAACTGAATGACAGATTTTTGTGAAACAGAACTTCTTGATTATAATCTGTATGTTAAATGAGAAAGTCACTGGACTTGAACTCAATCTTATATACAGGCAAGTATACTTCACTGCAGTGGGTAATAAAAGAAGTGAATTTATTCTTTGTTGTTTTAACCAAGATCAAATTAAATAACAGACTGGCGATTTCACTCCATGCTTGGGTCTCCCCTTCAAAACTAATCCCTGAATCACCCTAGGATTAAGATTTTGCCTTTTTTTAGTCTATATTCTTGAAAGCTTAAGTGCTGCACCAACTGTGGGTCAGCCTGGGGTCTAGCAAATCAAAGTTGGACTGTAAAATATGGATCTGTAGATAAGCATTGATGGTCTCTCAACTAGGGGACCCCTTATACAAATTACTTCCTGATGAATGTAGGTACACTAACTACAGTCTGTTCCTCAAACACCATCATGATGTGAAGAGTTTGGACAGTGTTTTCCTGTATTATTTGACCTCCATACACTTGCCTAAGCTGAAATTTCATCTCATCCTTTACCTATCAGGTCACTTACCAGAAATTTACATCTGTACCACAAAACCTAATTCTAGACTTACACTACTCCAGTAAAAAACAAGTATTTTTCATTTTATTCTATCCCAAAGTTTAGTAGGTGTCTTGATACAAGTTACATCATTCTTGGTAAAAATACCATAAATAATACATTGAATATATTCCCAGGGATGAAATGGAAAGCTAAATCCTGCAAATGACTGTGGCATTAGCCCCCTAAAGTTCACAGCATTCTTATCCTAGGAGCCCCCTGTCTTGAGGTCTAATACTAAAGTTCAATGGCAGTATATACAATTTATTCTAGCAAAGCAAGAATTATGTTAAATCCACAAAATTTTAACTACACAGAAGAAAGAACACATTCAGTACAAGGTTCTAGTATATATCAATTACAAAGAAAACAAGGACCCTTTCTAAAAAGTTTGCAATTTATCTTCAATATATACTCTAAGTAACCCATAATAATCGATTTTCTATGGATTACCAACAAACTGCTGTCCAAAGCATTGCTGAGCAGCATTTCCATGCCGAACATCTTGTCTGCGGAACCGCCTGAAAGAAAGCAAATGCATTTACGAGATGTTCAGATTTCAATTTTCCAGACTTTAAAACACAGCCAAGTGAATTAAAGATTCAAGTGTAGTCTGCTACTGAAAATACTGATCAGTCATACAAAACAAGGATAAAATTTAAGTTTCATAGTTTTCCATGGTCCCATTGAATATTCTTGAAAGGATAAGATCTATATAACTGTTCTTTCAGTGTTCGCATAAGTTTGGATTATAGCTCTTGAAACAATAATTTAAGAATGTTCTCTTTACATTTTGTTAACAATTTAGTTCAACAAGAAGTCTTGGTTTAAAATGAGTGTTGGATGGTAAAGGATGTGTGCAGCTAACGATGGTAGGCTTTGAGGCAGACTATTTGAATAAAAAATGCATAAGACTGACATAAGATAATGTGTATGTTAGAATAGGTATTTGAACCCAAATATTTGTTCTGTAGTTATTATAATCAATCAGCACAAATATAGTTGCTTTAAAAACTAATAATATACTCTTTTATTCAGATATAAATGATATGCCTTTATTCAACATGATGGTATATCACACATATTTGGCAGGAGTTCTTGAAATAGTGGAACTCAAGATATATTGATTTTTCCTCAATCAGCCGATTAAAATTAGAATTACTTCTAGTATACATTATCTGGTACAGATTATTTAGACATATAATTGAAAAATAGCAATATTGCTCATGCATGGAAAAATAATTCCAGAATATGTATCATATTTTAAATTTGTAAGTATATTTCTGAGATTAAACAAAGGAAATACTGTAATTTTAAAATCAAGAATTTCAGCATACTTAATTCTCATTAGAGATAAAAAAAAAGAGTATTTATACAAAGGCATCTGTATATCACTTGCTTCTCTAAATCATGACATTTCTTCAAAATTGAGGGGGGAAAACAGCAGGCAAAGCAGAAATTTTACATAGATGTAGATGGCAACACTTCCAAAATGACAGTGAGATGCTTCAAGCATACTCAAAGATAATATTTGGAGCAGGGAACCAGATTCAAAACCCACTGCCATAACCCATGTGCTATATGATTTTAAGCATATCTTTTCCATGTTTCCATTTTAAAATTATTTCAATCTATCTTATTTGATATCCAATACAGTCAGTCTGATACCTAAAATAAATTTCAGGTTCAATTTTTTATTTCATTCTAGGTTCTCATTGCCTGCAAATAATAACAGTGGAAAATTATTTTGAAAGATGAGTGCTTTCTCAGTATGAGTTCTGATCATAGCTAACAACTCAATATGTGACAATTTTTTAATTCCTTATGTTGAAAGCTAGTGCAAATGAATATCTTCATTTTTTTAGTATTTTTTAATTTTTAGGACTATAATTTATGTGTAAAAGCATTAAAAAATAAGATTGCTGGGCCTCCCCGGGTGGCGCAGGGGTTGAGCGCTGGGTTGCGAAGCTGCCCGCAGCTTCTGCAGCGCCGGTTCCATCCCCGGCTGCTCCCCGGCCACTGGAGGAGGGTCCCACATGGCGCGCAGACCTCTCCTGCCGCCCGCTGCTCCCCTCAGCAGTGTACCTCGGTCCTTCTGCCTGCTCTGCTCCCCGCTCTGGCTCTGGTGAATTCTCTCACCCTCCCGCGCCTCTGACTGTACCCACTGCTTGTATGTATAAATCAATCAATCAATAAATCTTTAAAAAAATAAACAAATAAGATTGCTGATTAGAAAAACTTACACAAAGACCTGGTATTTTATAATGCTTAGATTAATACTATCACATGGATTGTTCTATTGGGTTAAATAGTAAATGGCACTTGAGAAAAAAGTGGCAAGTACAATTAGAAAGTTTTCTGCATCTATGTTATTTGGTACTAGCTTATGTGCTATTACACAACTGATAGCAGCTCTAGGTGAAAATTAATTCTTCACTTCATTGGGTATTTCTTTGGAATTTGGAACCCAAGTTTCAAATAAAAGCAATAATAAATAATGGAGGAGGGGAAATGGGAAATAGTTTCCACGTTGCAGAAATAATATTTATCAAGTTTATAATATAGGTAATGTAAATGTAAAAAGAATTGCTATGATTCTAGATAAGCAATGTGAATAATAGGCATGCAAAAGTTTTATTTAAAACATTGGAAACATGCATTTGAATAGAAAGATATCACATCCTCTACCAAGGTTCCAGTTCCTTTCATACAATCCTAATATCACTGTCCTTCACTCCAGTCTTTCAAAAGAATGTATTAGGAAGGTTTTGAAAAGGTTAAGCAAAGTAACCTTTTATTCTCAAAGTCGTATATTTTTCTTATATCTCCTGCCTTAGAAACTTTTAAAGAAAACACTGGAAATAGACAAAATACAAGAGAAAAGGGAAGGAAAGAACCTAGCTCTATAAATTATAGTTTACTTTGGAAGACTATTTTAAACAAGTGGCTTGGATGGTGAATTAATGCTTTTGCTCTGTTGATTCATTTTCACTCTGTGAACAGAAAGGTATTTATTTTAATGACCAGTTTTCAATTTCTGGTACTAGTCAGGTCTGAAGCAAAAACGATCTGTTGTAAAAGCAAACTATTTTCCCTTCATGTGCTGGAACGTATCCAAAAAGTTCTCCTCGAGGGGTGGGTGATGTTCAAAAGAATCTGACACCACTGAAAGATCTCTATTACATGTCACTGAACTGAACTAATTCATTTATGACTGGCTTCTGACTCCAGCTTTCAGTCCTTCCTGTCTATGATTTTGCCCATTTATTGAACTTTTTTAAAATAACTGTTTCATCTACTCTTTTTAAATATATTATCAAGCTTGTGATTGTATAGTCTTATAAGATGCATTCTATATCAGGAAATATTGAGCTATGGAAACTGCTTAGTCAAAAATCATCATCTCTATTGCATGTCCAATATAAAACCTTGTTATTCATAAGTATTTGACGCAAGGCTTGTAAACATTTTTATTGTTGCTGATAACAATATAAAAATTTTATTATTTTCAGTAAAATTGTATTTCTAGCTTTACATCTTCATGTTTTATTCCTTTTATGAAACTACACAGTTTTCCCTGAACAGTCTATGACTTTTTACAAACAATTACCTTTGACTGGGATCTCCCTGTAGTCTCACCTGCAAAATTGAGCTCAAAGTTTGGGTTATTTTAAGAATTAAATAATGTATTATATATACTGCACCTAGTCCAGTACCTTACATGCAGTAAGTGCCAACAGCAAGCTCCTAGCATCCTTATTTACAATTCTTTTCTCTAATTTGGGTTCTGACTTCTTCTAGATGAGGGGCTGTGGTTATATCTGCATGTCCCTGGCACATAAAACATTAACTGACATAGTGAATAAATCATAAAAAATACTTTCTAATAATAATGGCTGCATTCTTCAAGAACTGTTTTCAAATATCAATAAGCATTTGTATAAAATCAATTAATTTGCTCATTGTTTAATACAGTTGGTAAATTAGTTTACTATTTTTATTGAAATTAATTTTGTTTAAAATGTCCTTTCAAAACATTTTTTTCTCTGTTTGTTTATTATATCATTTCTTTAAATACTCACTGGAAAGTTAATTTAGCTAATGTTAGGTTAATAAAGTTTGAAGTAGAATCTAAGTTTTTTTAATGTAATTTACAATACGTGAACCTATAAAAATAACAACTACATTCAATTGGGCAAAATTAAAATATGAAGAAGTTTTAAAAAAAAGCTATCCAAAGCGGAAAAGCAAGAATAAAAAACTTGGTAAACATTGTTTTTTCAGTAAGGAAACTGCATGTAGTCTTATGTTTTTGTTTTCTATTGCCTTTGTCTTTATGAAGAGAAAAAAATCAATACTCATTCTATGACAATGTAAATATTTTCCCTTGTGTTCTTTCCCAAAGAATGCATCATTTCACCAGGTCCAAGTAAAGAATATCCTTATACTTCACAATACTTTCTGTACCTCAGGATCTGTTAAAAGAATCCTGAAATTTACCTTCTCTAACAAGTGGCAATGACCTTACTGGATTGCAGGCATTAGAGTTTGGAGGTCTTTAAGTACCTTTCATTTGTGTTGAATTAAATCACACATTTCATTAATTATATAGGTCATGCATTTGCCTAGGAGTTAAAATATTCACTTTCAAAATGAAATAAATGAAGACCAGCTGGTGGAGAGGACATGAGGCAAAAGCAGGATGTATTTTAGAATTTATTTATTTATTTTCTTTTTAAGTCTTTGAATCCCTCACGTGTGGTGCCTTGCCATTTCTCCATTTTAAGTTTATCTAGTCTGGTTTCATGTCTTGCAGCAAAAATTTCAGGAGGGGGAAGAGTTGATTCAAAGCTGGGTGGGAAAATTAAAAACCAACAGTGTTCTCAGTTCCAGTCCATGTATAAAAGAATCCATGGAAGTTATTTGCAGGAAATAACTTATATTTTATAAGTTATTTAAGTTTTCAAAACTTACATTCTGAACAAAATAGAACCATGATGAAACAACAACATGGCTATTTTCATTTATATTTTAAAAGAAAAAACATGGTTATTTACATGGAATGAGCACAGAATTAAAAAAAAAAAGTGTTGGTGTTTTCCTAAACAACAGAAGTATTACATGGAGGACTCTGTCTCACCTTTTTGCATGTGTACCTGTGGGGTAATACCGGGAACAGGATATACCATCCCAGGCACAGTAAGGGTCTCGAGCTAGGCAGCAGTCAGCACAAGCACTTCCATACATGTCACACTGATGGAATCTGACTTGGGCCACGGCAGAAGCAGAGCCAATATACAGCTGTTGCTATAGAAATTAAAGATGAGAGTGGTCACAAGCAGAAATGAATAGAACTTGCACTGAGATCTTACAGCTAACATCTAGATTTTCATATTTATACACAACCACCTCCATAAAATTTACTTAAATTACTGCAGTTGCTCCAGATTGATAATGCAAACACTGATATTCTCATTTGTTCAAGATTTGAGGAAATCTTTACAGACATAGTGGGAGAAGTACCAAACTCTCTAGAGGGAGCTCAAGAAAAACTCAAGAAGCTGAGCCTTATATTCATTATGCAAGCAGAAAAACACATCATCTAACATTTTAGATCTTTTTTAAACAGCTATAGGGACATTGAATAAGAGATTGGATAAATAAATGAGCTTTTGAGTACTGACATATAACATTTAGAAGTGTGACGTTTGCATGGAAAGGTGTAATAAACTGTAAGATACATTTTGAAGTAAAAAAAGACAAGTAGCAGGGCCTCTCCTGGTGGCGCAGCGGTTGAGCGCTGGGTTGCAAAGCTGCCCACAGCCTCTGCAGCGCCGGTTCCATCCCCGGCCGCCAGCGAGGGTCCCACATGGCGTGACAGACCTCTCCTGCCGTGCCCACTGCTCCCCTCAGCAGTGTGTTTCATTGGTCTGCCTGTTCTGTACCCTGCTCTGGCTCTGGTGAATTCTCTCACCCTCCCATGCTTCTGACTGTACCCAGTGCTTGTGTGAATAAATAAATCTTTAAAAAAAAAATTAAAAAAAAGACAAGTAGCAGAACAACTAAATTTGCATGCCCCCCATTTATCTAAACATAAAAGGTTATTTATAAATAAATTTAAAGTTATATATAGAACAACAGTTTCCAGAGAAATTTACACTAGAAACTTACTCAAGTAGTCTGAAATAAAGGTTTCACTATATACTTTTATTACCATTACTGCCATCATTACTTCAAAAACATTAGAAAGAGAATAAGTATGGAATAATGTTCTATAATGACTGTAAAAATAAATCTATCTCTATCTTTCTAAAAATAGAAAATGAAATCCATTATATGTAAATAAGTATATATTTTTGCTAGAATAAAACTGTAGCTTGTAGCTTGCTGATATGCAAGTACTTGTGCTCTTTATTCTTTCCCCTTTATTCACATGTAACACACACACACACACACACACTCTCTCTCTCTCTCTCACACTTACTCTCTTTGATGAAATCTCCATAGAAATAATAGGAACTGGATCCTGAAAGAAAAAAAGTGTTCCCTTTTAAGAAAAAGGAATTACAGGCACATACCTTAATATGATTACAAATCATCTGAACCCTTATTAGGTATTATGTAGTTCTGTGCCACAAATGCATAGTTTACATTTTAATAAATCAAATACTCAAATATAATTAAATTAAATATAGCTTTCTTTTAAAAATTCTTTTCGAATGGACTGGAACAGATAAGCAGATGAGAAAAGCTGTGGTAATCTAAGCAGGTTACTATTTGTCCTTGGAATGTAACTTTTATGTTTGCATTTGAGTATTACTTGTACTTTGGAAACTCACATATCTTTAAATAAAATAATAAAGTCAGAGTGTTCTTTCCTATGAAGCGATGGAACCACCAGAGTGAACGTTGCAGGTGAGTGAAGCATGTACACATATGGAAGTGTGAAGATGTACCAGAAATTTATGTAGCTATATAAATGACTGGTGAATTAAGAAAACAGAATGAAATAAAAAGATTGAGTGCTAAAAGAAATTGCAAATTTTAAAATGTTAAATTCTGGTTTCACTATATAAAAATGTGAACATTTTGTCGTACTTCTAATACATCAAGTGAGCATTAATTGCTTTAACCAGGACTAACCAGAGTGCTTTTCTGTTGGTTATCATGGTCAATCACGATGAACCCAAGATGCTTTGAACAAGACTAATAACCCCACTGTCTTAGAACTGCACCAGAGGAAAGAGGGTCTATAGCATAGTTTGGAGAACCCATGTGATATTCTCAGACAGTGATTAAGAAGAGAGTGTCTCTAAGGAGCATCAAACACACAGATCAACTCTGCAAGTGTAGAAGCAACAAGCAGGTGGAATGTACTCTATAGATAATTGTCCTTTGAAAAATTATTCTTTGAAAAAGAAAGTTTGATTTTTTGTGTTGGGGTTTTTGTACTTTCTTAATATTTTAAATGACAGAACCTTGTTTGCTTGCACATATTTAGCCAACAATGTTTCTTAAGGGTTCATAGGCACAGGACATTATAGTGGATGTGATTGCATCCATATCAGTGCTGAACTTTGGTCTCTAACCTGAAATAAAATCTTACACAGAGATCCATATGCAAAATAAACAAAAACATATCTGCTCTGGGTGAGACAGGAACATGATTAGCTTTGGGTGTGGCCATGAGGAAACTAATCTCCAGGAGACCCAAGGTGAAACAAAGTGATTTTCATCAATAAAAAATTGTCACATATATTATATTATACACATATACAAGTAATCTTCACTATTGGCAGATTGTGCTTTTGCAAATTTTCCTGCTCATTAAAATATACTTGTAATCCTGACAGCAAGGCTTGAAGTGCTTTTGTGGTCATCGGCACAGGATGCACGGAGTGGCAAAACACTAGAGTTGCCCAGTGTACACGTTCCCTGTTGAAGTCAATTAAGGCGATAATCTACTGTCTTCTTTCAGTTTTCATATTGTAAATGCATGTCCTTCTCGTGGTCTATTTAGTGTCACATTTTTTGGCATCTTTTGGGGAGATTGTAATGTTTAAAATGGCCCTCAGCATAGTGCTGCAGTGCTGTCTAATGCTCTAAGCTCTGTGACATACTTATAGAGAAATTGTGTGCCAGATCATATTTGTTCAGGCATGAGATACCTTACTGTTGGGTATAAGTTCAATGTTAATTAGTCAACAGTATACAACAAGTAAGGTATCTTCAAATAGACACACTCATAAAACAAGGCTATATACTATAAAGTTGACAAAAATGTCATGAACAGAACCTAACACTGTGCTTCCCCCGGGTCAATGGTCAGTATTTACTAATTCAGTATTGAGTTTAAAGACCAAAACTGCCTTGAATATTAACACTTGGCTGTGTATGTGTACAGCTGTTTTCCAATGTTATTTTGGACTTTTTCTCCTTTTTAGTAGATTATCTGTGTAACTGATATGCTAAACAAAAAGTAGATACTAATCACACTACAAATTCCACAATATGTAATGTACTGCTTTTTTAAATATCTGCATTGATAGCACATTTGTACAAGATGTGACTGGCAATAGTAATTCTAGAATTCATATGTAATGTGTTTTATTACTTTATATTGAAATACTTTACATGTTAGGTAAATATCGGTCACCTCACTTGATAAGTCTATGGTAAATAAATAGATGCATCAAGATTTTAAATGACTCCTCACTTAAAATTAACTCTGAATTCTTAACACTCCTGTTAGAAATAATTGACATAATGTTTTCCCTATTTGCAATTCACTTGAAATTTTCTGAAATACACAGATGATGGCTAATTTTTTTGCTAAAAATACCTTGAATATCTGAAGTTCTTCCAGAATTACTTCTTCCATTGACTCTGTTTCTTGGTTGTAAATTGTGATCACTTTCAACACAATTCCATTATCTGTAAGAAACCAAAAGAAGAGATAAATTAGAAGCTTTGTACAATATAGTTTTCAAACAATTAAACACCTGTAGGGACTCTGATTTCAAATAAGAAATGATGAAACATTTAATGGATGAAACATTTAATGGATGAAACATTTAATCACTGCTAGCTAAATAACATGATTAACTATATATCCACATTTTCAATAAGCAAAAATTTAATTTAATATGCCTAGCCAAATATTAAGACCAAATAATATATAACTAGTTTTCAAATAGTTTGATCCAAAAATCCAATTAAAGGTTTGGAAGTCAAAATGTCTTTGGTATTAATGGAATATAAGACAGATACCAAATTATTCAAGCTTTTCTATGATGTAAGATGAAAGTAAAGTTTTTATCTAAAGGTACTTTCCAGGTAAGAAATTATACCTTCACATTTAGGAAATTTTATAAGAAATATGCTGTGGAAATTTTTGCACGTGTGTGTGTGCATGTACATATTTTTATAGGTCTATGTATGATACATATAAAGTATATACACATATATACAATATAATATGAAGAAATTTTGAATACATACAATGAGTCATACTGTACATCACTGGCTTCATAATTATCAATACATTTATAAATTTATATTCATATATCAAAATTTCATCTATTATTAATGATATTTTGAGCTTGAGGCTTCCAATGAAAAATTTAAAAATTTAATAAAAATATAAACATTATTTGTATATAATAATAATGTTATAATACTAGAAAAATAAATCAGGAAAAAATAAGCCCATTTGAGGTGCTGGAAGTCACTAAGAGTGAATTTGTGGCTAAGTAATTTTACATTTCTTAAAGAAATCTGATGCTTTGTTAATCTCAGGCCCATAGTACAGACCATATTATTAACATTAACTTCCTAAAATAAATGAATAAAATACAGACTGTACCAAGCAATTGATTTCTGGAAATCAGATAAATGTTTCAGTACTTAAATCTATTTTAAAAAATATTACTGGAGAAACCCAAGCACCAATACTGATATTGCATCCTGATTTCTCATCTGAGTACCTTCTAATATCTCTTCAAAATTATATGTGTGTGGCTAATGTATGGAAGGATGCTCATTCTTATTAATAACAACAGCTATAGGAATAACTATGATGCATAAGGAAAAAGAAATGATACTTTAAAGATTTTTTAAATAATGGCAGAAATTTAAAGTCCTAACAGAATTTGGTATATATTGCCCTGTATACAAAAAGATTCCAAGTTTTCTCCCACAAGCCAGATTTAATGGCATTGATTGAAATTAGAAATTTATTTGAAAACTTTACTTTTACCATGTATCTATTACATTCTGTTTATTAAAACATGGTATTATAGCTTTGGTCTAAAACTTTACCTCTATTTTGGGTAACACTTGGCCTATTTGGCACAAATGACTGATTCTGGAGGCCTGATAAGCATATTGTGATTACAAATTTAGAGAAAGCTTGTCCCAAGTTGTCTGAAGAATCTTGACATATTGCTGAGCAACCAAAGGTGGAAATGGATCTAGATGACTAAAAGAAGAATCATTCTGGTCATGGCATCCTACTTGCTCTTTAGGAAGTTTATTTGACATCATTAACATCAATTCTTTACTCCTTCACTTATTCATTTATTCAAATGTATTAAGTATTGACTATGTATCAGGAATTGTGTGCTGTAACTGCCCCCAAATCCTCTCTTCCTCTATAGTGAATGTAGTGAATGAGTAGATTACAAATGAGCTAGTGGACCAACACTAGATTTATTGATACATTTTAAAAAATAATACAATTATCAATTTTAAGGTTCAATTAAGGTCTCTAAATACTTTCTAGTCATTTACCTGTTCCAATAAACAGGACATCATAATGGCCATCCTCAGCTTCTACTCGATCCACTGCTATTTGTTTCAGGTTATATTTTCCATCTGTTTTTACCAGTATTGGCTTTTTATGAGCAGGTTTTATGGGCTGGTACATAAGTGGATGGCTTCTTGCAAATCGGATGGCATCATCAGGATAGTCTTTGGTTGTTCCATACCTCCCTCCATTCACTTTGCTAGCACACTGAAATAAGAGTGAAAGAGATAATTATTTTCTTGTTTAAATCTAAAAAGCAAGTTCATAAGCAAATATGAGAAGAATTAGAAAATTGGATGTGTTCAGTTAATTAACTAGGCATTCCGAAATGTTTAGTAAACCATGTATTCTTCATTACAAAAATGAAACGTGCATTAAAAATTGCAAGGAGGGCCTCCCCAGTGGCGCAGCGGTTGAGTGCTGGGCTGTGAAGCTGCCTGAAGCCTCTGCAGCGCTGGCTCCATCCCCGGCCACCAGGCGAGGGTCCCACATGGCGCGCAGACCTCTCCTGCCGCCCGCTACTCCCCTCAGCAGTGTACTTTGTCAGCCTGCCCGTTCTACTCCCTGCTCTGGCTCTGGTGAATTCTCTCACCCTCCCGCGCTTCTGACCAGTGCTTGGGTAAATAAATAAATAAATCTTTAAAAAAAAAATTCCAAGGAAAGACTAAATTATTTCAAATATGCATACTAGAAAAAAATGGAATATTGTTAAATTCTGGAAAAGTGATGTATATTTATATTGGTACCATCTGGTAAAAATGTTCAGCACTATAAATACTTGGATTATTTTCTCAATTTTCTGAAATTTAGTGTTACATTGTAAATTAAAAGTTGAAAGTTGGGCCTCCCCTGGTGGCGCAGCGGTTAAACACTGGGTTGCGAAGCTACCCGCAGCCTCTGTAGCGCTGGTTCTATCCCCGGCCACAGGTGAGGGTCCTACATGGCGCGACAGACCTCCCCTGCCTTGCCCGCTGCTCCCCTCAGCAGTGTATTTCGTCAGTCTGTCTGTTCTGTTCCCTGCTCTGGCTCTGGTGAATTCTCTCACCCTCCTATGCTTCTGATTGTACCCATTGCTTGTATAAATAAATAAATCTTAAAAAAAAAAGTTGAAAGTTAACAATAAATTTTTCATAGCAAAGCAAAAATTATCTTTGTTGTGTTCAATCTTCCCCCCAAGTTAAGGATCACAACTGAACAAGATGGCTTTCCCATTGCTGAAACTATATAATATGATTGCTGATGGTTGTAATTGGCTCAGTGACTATAGAATCGTAGTGCTATAACTGAACCTTAATCAAACTCCATCATCATTAATTACTGAATTACTCTTTGTTCGACTGAAATCTATATGAATTTGTATTATTTTTGTATGGGTTAGAATCAACAAATTGAGAAAGCCAGAAACATTTGCTCTAACATGTTCCAATTCTCAGCTCACTGACTCTAAAAATAAATGTTCAGTGGCACCTAAGCTACTTCTTGGAACATTTTTACCTATGTTGATTCATGACCATTATTAAAAGCTCCCTCATTTTGTGTAGTTTCCTCTAGAACCAACAGCAATTGCAATGATTATCTTGATAAAAATTTTCCACTTTAGAATATAAGTACAGTAGTTTAGTAATCAGATTCTGTTAAAAGGACATTTTTAATGGTTTGTTTTTTAAAAAATCAGGCCATATTTCTTAATTTAGCATGAATTTTTCACTTGAGTGTACTTTCAGAATATATAATTGGAAACATTTTGGACCAGCCTGGAAGCAGTTCAGTAACCAGTCACTTCCTCCAAATCTCCTTTAAGACCATGTGGTTTCAAGAGGCATTTCCAGCAAAGCCACAGGAGTGGGTTTTCTCCATTTAAATTGCAATTTCAACCAATAGAGTGAAATAAAATATACTTTATGTCTTACTGGAAGCAATAATTTTAAGCTAGTGAGAGGATGATTGAAATGGTAAAGCCTTACACTTGTTAATGGAGGTAAGGTTTGTTTCCACTTCGGATTTTGGCTATGCAAAAACAGTTTTACTTGACTTGCAAGCACTTGTGGAAACAGCATAGTGATGGGTTCCACCAGCTGCTCATAAAAATGGAGACTGTGACTTGCATGACAAGTTAAATGTTTATTCTCCAGGGCCCACGTAGTACACACATGATCCTACATATTCCCAACCTATGATATAAAATCATCATTATCATTGTCATGATCATCATTTTTAAATACATGTGCTATTTAAAAGATACAAGTTTGGAGACTAGTTGGGGACATTTTAGTAGCACCAGTTCAGAGGCAAGAGGTAGAACTTTCAATATTCCAGCAACACTTTTCAGTTGGCACTCTTCCTATAGGAGGCCAGCAAGGATGTTAAATGAGGTGCTAAGTATTCTGAGGGGGCAGAGAAAAAAATCTCTTCTGGGTATTTTAAAGTGAGAAATAAAAGGGAAATCTGGCCTAGGGAATATAGAGGCTCACCTAAACATTAGAATATAAAAATCCTCTTGGTCTTGGAAATTACTAATTCTTATGAAGAGGCTGAGAGAAATATAATGCTTATTTTATTGGATGTATTCATCACTACCCTTAAAAATAAAATTTCAGTTGGAGCTAAAGTACCAATAATGATATATATACATTGTAATGCTGCTAAGATATATCCATCATAGATTACATACTTTTCATTACATAAGAAGTATACACCTAGATATGTGGAGTGGTATTTCTGTATCATGCAAGTAATATTTTTAGGTGGAGGGTCTCCCTGATGGCACAAGGGGTTAAGCACCATACTATGAAGCAATTCGCAGCCTCTGCAACACGAGTTTGATCCCCGGCCGGCCAGGGAGCAAACCACATAGCGAAGCCCACTGCTCCCCTCTGCAGTGCTCACCTCTGCAGTATATTTCAGTCAGTCTGCCTGTTCTGTTCCCCACTCTTGTCTCTGGTGAATCCGCTCATCACCACCCCCCATCTCTGGCCTGTACCCCAGCTCTTGTATGCATAAATAAATAAATCTTTTTAAAAATAAATATATATTTAGGTGTAAAATTACTTAATTATTTAATGCAAAGTTTTGTAAAGCATCTACAACAGAGAATAAAACATTGTTAAAAGAGTTTTTAAAAAACAAGAATACTTTGTTAAATGCCTAAACTTACAGAACCAGGCCTTGGATAAGGAACTTTTCCTTCATAGAGTGACCAGTGGTATTCAGGTCCTTCCTTATGTGCATATGGTCCATTAAAAGCTGCCCGGATGCTGGACATATGATAGACACATATAGCATGCCCTCTAAATATATTACTGGAAAAAAAAAGAGAATTACTATTCTGGAACTAAGAAAGTCACCTAGTCAAAATCTTCAGACTACATAAAGACTACATTTTGCATAAAGTGTTACAATCTCTTAAGAATGGGAAATTATAAAAATATTGGTTATTATAATATTTTAGGTATTAAAACTCCAAAACTTTCCATATGTATTTATTAATATAAATTGAAATATTAGTCAAAAATAGTTTTCACTTAACTTTATTATTATTAAATATTATATAGTAGTAGGTTTATATTTTATTAAGATCTGGTATTAATACTAAAAGAATCATTCCTAAGTTCAATCACTTATCTTAAAAGTATTATCTCCTTGTATATTATTCTATCTTCTGAGTAGTGTTATCCTAATCTCCATAATATTAATGCAAATTCTATTCAAATTGTATATCACAGTGCATATGATCAAAAGAACAATTAAAATTCTCATGAAAACTTGGGGCTTTGTTCCATTCTTTGGCTTGGGATATAGCAGACATTAAGATTACTATATATTCCTTCCTCCAAGTCACTGAAAACATGGTAGTAGTAGAAAGATAATTGAGATGAACTGAATTAATTTTGGGAAAAAGCTTAAATTATATAAAACTCTGATTCTTTACTTTCAGAACTAGCAGCAACTGACTTCTTTTGATAGAAAGGTCTACTTGTTGACAATCAAGATAGTAGCTGGCTAACTACAAGAAGTTTTACTGAGAGCATTTGGAATAATACTTTGCAGAAGGACTTTTAAAAATGATTTTAAATCAATATCTGGCCATATTTCTTAATTTGGCATGATCTGAATGAATTGCATTATTTCCCCAGCATCCTTATGATGAGAATCACAGTTATTTTGACTCACAAAACAGTCAATGTGCGTGAAAGTGTTATGCAAAATGCAAAAGTCTTTATAAATATAAAATTTCCTACACTCTGAGACACCTGTAGGACAGCAGTTATGTCCCTGTCTCAGGACATCAATTCACACATTTTATTACACACCTTGAAGCAATTGGAAACTCCTGTGATAGTGAGAAAATCAGAGATGTCTCCCAACTAAAGTGGCAATAAACCTTTGATCACCATGTAATCAGTATCAAATTTTATGTCAGATAACAGCTGGTAAGCTATTTTTTTCCAGATTTAGATATAAATTGAACAGTAAAAATTGAAATTATGGAAGAAAATAGCATCATGTCTTTGAAATCTCAGGCAGATCCATTATGTCATCATTTAGGAAAGTGGCTTACAAACTGATCAGACTAAACTACAGAAAAGCTATCCTGAACACCCCATAGCTTGTATTTATCATTCAAGGCCATGGAATTATGATTCAATATATAAATTCTTCACTGGCATAAGGAATAAAATTAAGTAGAGAAAAATACAGACTTTCCATGGACTGTGGTAACTAGCAATCTACATTTACTACTTTTCTTTGTATCAAGAATTAATTGACAGAAAAATTGTTTCCATGTTTCTCCCTTGAGGATAAGGTTTCCTTACACTAGTAGGATATTTTGTCCAAACAGCTTCACTGCTCTTTTTCAAAAGTAAACACAAGAAATCACCTGCCCTGCTGGCGCAAGGGGTTGGGATGCAACCTATGAAGCTCACTGCAGCCACTGCAGTGCGAGTTCGATCCCCGGCCAGGAAGCTGCCTGCATGGCACAGCAGACCTCTCCTGACACGCCCACTGCTACCCTCAGCAGTGTATTTCAGTCAGTCTGCCTATTCTGTTGCCCACTCTGTCTCTGGTAAATTCTCTCACCCCCCCTACACCTCTGGCCTGTACCCCAGCTCTTGCATGTATAAATAAATAAATCTAAAAAATAAATAACAAAACTGTAGAGAGAACATAAACAAAGAAGATATTCATGACTATGTAACAGCTTCAAGTCAATGGAATGCAAGAGGAATTGAGTAATATCATTTTGTTCCTACCCAGAGAACTGAGATATCTCTTTATTTCTCATTCTAGTCATGTCACCTAGAATCAACCTTATTTGTAATGACACTCAAGAAATTATACATATTTATGTATATGTACATATACATGTTATATATGTATGCATATAAACTCCTCCTGTCTTTAAAATCTCAGACATCCATTATGCTATCATTTAGTTTCAACTAAAACTGATTCCAGTAATAACTGTTCATTCATGTATCAACACACAAGACATGCTATTTGATTCATTTTTCCTGTACTCGTCCATGAATACAAAATAATGTAAAAAGAGAAAAGTAATAGATTATAAGACCTAAACTTGAGAAGCTTATTTAAATTTAAAACACTGAGGGTAAATTGTAAAGGTGTTTTAGCTATCTACACAGGAACTAGACAACCAGAATAAAGGAGTTAGCAAAATGCTTTATGATCAAGGAAGAAAGCAGTATTTCTTGAAGATGTCTGTTGATAAGGACTGATATAAATCAGTGCTGGAAGAGAAAGTCATTTCAAGCAAAAGAAGTAGATAAATAAAATCTAGGGGTGGGGAATAGCAAAACAGACAGAGGGATACTGTCAAGGTATTATCTTGTCAAAAGTAGAGCATTAAAGAGCTTACAGGAGAAAATTCCAAAGATGAGAGGATAAGAGTTGATACAGATCCTTGAAAACCTGACTTAGAAAATTCTATGATCATTAAAAGGATGATCCTAGATTCTATAGCTTCTAAATTATATGAGAAAACAATCATTGTGTTATAGATCAGAGGAGATGAGATTAGGATGCTAAGTATCTGGATTGAGATGGTGGTTTTAAATACAAAAGCAAAAATAAGTCAGAAGGAAAAAGATACCAGATGATTTCACTCATGTGGGATACAGAGAAACAAAGGAACATTATTTAGTTGAGTAAAAAAACCTAAACCAAATGAAACCCTAGGAATCTGATTGCAGAATCCAGGTTACCAGAAAGTCAGGGTGGGCATGGGGAGCAGGGAGGTAGGGATCCCAATGGACTATGTGGAGGAATATAGATTCCATGGTTATGGGTGTGGTGCAGTAACACACATTTAAAGAGATGTGAACCTGTACCTCTGAATCATGTACTGTATTGTAAACCACGGTCCTCAATAAAAAATAATATAAATAGCTTTTAAATAAAGATGAAAGTGAAAATACAATTGCAAACATAAATACAGAAAATGAGAATGACAAACAGGACAATAATATTTTCATGTTATATACACAATGAGTGGGTGAGGCATCTTATATTTCATAATATTATTATTGATCATGTAAATTTCTCACCTGGTAGTGTTAAAGAGTCCAAATATCACTGGGTTCTTATGATCTCTAGTATGCAGAACAAATACATCCTCTGAAAAATTAAAGACCATTACATTAGTTAATATTTTTGTCCTCTTTGCACATAAAGAAAATATATTGACATACAAATAGTTTAGAAACCACTATAGGTTGTACGATATAAATTCCCATATGCACACAACCAGGACCAAATCATAACAGAAGGAAACACTCGGTTATTGAGCGTGACTTTGAGTTGAGCCTGGAGGAAAGGACCAGAGGCACTGACTCTAAACTAGTGAGTTGTGTTTCTTTTTGTTCTTGCAACTCCTTTGTTCCCACTGCATGGACCTGGCCAAAATAAAGAGAACAGAAACTTGCTCTAAGTTAGCTGATGTTGGATGTATACTCAAAGAAATACTAGTTGTTGTTGTTTTTAATATATGAACTCTTGCCATTTCCAGCAACATAGATGGGATTAGAGGGGGTTATGTTCAGCAAATTAAGTCAGAGGGAAGAAGACAGATACCAGATAGAGTCACTCAGATGTGGAATATAGAGAAACAAAACAAAGGATCAGACAAAACCAAATCAAAAACAAACACTAGAAATCTGACTATAAAATTGAAAAGACCACAGGGGGAGGGGAACATTGGAGAGCAAAGGGTAGAGCGGGCCCAATGAACTATGGTGGAGAACTACGGTGCCCTTGAGGTGCAAGTGGTGTGGTAATGTGTTTTGGAAGAGATATGTATATACCTCTAAATGATATACAATGTTGTAAACCAAAGCTATCTCATAAAAATAAAATCAAATAAAAAAAGAAACCAGAAAGAGAAGTCAAATACTGTAGAAAACAAGTTTTATATGTCCTACAATAAAGGTTACATAGAGGCATTTAGATCAATGAATAAAATTTATTTATCTCAATATTTACCGAGTTCATCAAAATATGTATCAATTCCATTCATTCCTGGTACTGAGCAAACCAATCTTGCTTTTAGGAAAGTAGTCCACTTATTCACTAGTATTCTCTGTCCACCTACATCATTCTGAGAAAAATAAAAAAGCAGGTAAATAGGCATCTAAAGAATTCTTATCAATAATGATTTTGTATTATTAAAGTTTCAGCTTTTCCATTTAATGTACAAAATTTAGCATAATCTTTAAATATCACAGAACCAATGTCCCATAAATTTTTTCTTTAGGTTTGTACATTCTACTTTGTTAGTGTGCCTTCATTCTGGTCCATTAAATACAGGTGTTAACTAATGTTAATAGAATTGTCTGTCCTAAATAAATTAGTGGCCTTTATGATACAATAACCTTTGCTATTATCTTACTGATAATCTGCTTCTCTTAGCAATAAGGAAGCATCCATTCATTTCTCTTGCTCTATAAAAATAAAGGTGGAAATACACACACATACAGTTGAACACATATACATATGCTAGATAAGTAGATAAATAGATACATACACACCCACAAACATATACATGCAAACATGGACATAACCCTAAATCTCTTTTTAAATGTATTAAATGTTAAAATAATGTATATCTACACTATCATTAGCACTCTCCCAATATATATTTCTACTTAAGTTGGCTTTTAATGTTCCTAAACAATCTACCTAAACCTTAACAAATTGAAGACTTTTCTACAGAGTTGACCAACTGAACCTATGATATATATGTAAATAGCTTAGAATGGGGACTAAAAGCAATGAAAAAGATATGGGTTTTATTAATTTTCTTTAAATGGTGCTCAAATCTGTGTCAGAAGAAATATAGTCTAATTATAGATTATTACAGCTTTGAAATAGAGAAAATCATATAAGATGAAAAGCTCTTTTAAGATAAAATTTTCACTAAATGTGAAATACGAATATTAGTTAGTAAATACCAATTTTAGACAGCCTACAGGATACCAGAAATATTGTAAAGTAGAAAACTATTATAAAATTAATAAAGACCTCATGACAAATTGTGAGATAAGCAAGTTTAATGAGACAAATGCAATCCTCACCACACAAAGTCGCCCAACTCTGGTGTAAATGGCATAGGCATTGTTTTCTGCCTCCAGAGCCTTCTCAGTAAAAAAGAAATATATTTTGTTGTCATCTTTGTCTTCATTGTCAGGTATCATATATGAACCTACAAATTTTGGTTCTATAGAAGAAAAAACAAAGGAAGTTGAAATACCAATTGCAACAAAATAAGTTTTCTATTAATTATATATCACATGAGTGTGTAAGTTTAACTGTCACCATTTTATGAAGAAATGTTTTCCTTGATCTATTGTACTAAACTTTGACAATTATGGATGTATCTGTTTTCTCTGCAATTCAAAAATTTTTAGAAATATTAAAGGAAAATTTAATTCAAAAATTACAGAGTCAAGGAAGGAAAACCAATTTCAGACTCAAGTAAGGAAAACCAATCACAAGAAAACCAATTACAGAGTCAAGGAAGGAAAACCAATAAGATATATTATTGTGTAAGATATATTAAAAAAAATTCGAAGGACAGTTGGGGGTTATTATTTTGATAATCTATATAACATGTCCTACATAACATTCTCTATATATAGGTAATATATTTTAGAAAAGAAGTCTATCATTACTTTTAATTTTTTTAAAAGATTTTTTTATTTATGCATACAAGAACTGGGGTACAGGCCAGAGGTGCAGGGGGTTAAAGGATTCACCAGAAACAGATTGGGGAGCAGAACAGGCAGACTGGCAGACTGAATGAAATACACTGCTGAGGGGAGTAGTGGGTGAGTCAGGAGAGATCTGCTGTGCCATATGGGTTGCTCCCTGTCAAGTCAGGGATTGAACTCATGCTGCGGAGGCTGCAGGTAGCTTCATAGGTTGTGTCCCAAAACCCTGTGCCACCAGGGAGGCCCCTATCATTATTTTTAATTCATAAATTATCTGCCACTCTCGTTCAAGGAAGAACTTTTTGATTTAAGGTTGAAAATGTATTCTAATTTTTTACATTTGTAGTGTAAGTTATCTAAGTGAATTACTATTGATTGCTATGAAAATTAAACATTTTAATGATAATGTGCCAATAATGTGTATGTACTGTAAAGAATAAAAAGGCTGAAAATAATGGAAATGCTCATGATAAAATGATGTTTAGTCCCTAGTCATAACAATATACCAAAATAAAAGCATTCTCCCTTACACACAATTCTATGTTAATGAATGGTTCATCATTTCTGCTTGTTTGTCTTTAATGTACAATGTGATCCTACAAAAGCAAGCAAAGCAAAGCAACCACTCTGTCTGAAATTATACCATTGAATAAGAGAAGATACAACGTATTGGATGAAAAGGACTTTTCTACTTTTATAGACTTGTTTTATTTTCTTCATGTAAATACTGATTTTTAAGCATATCTATGAAGGTAATTTCCTTTTATAGTTAAGCTAATCCATACAACTAAGAAAAAAAATCCTGAAATTTGTAAAAGCTATATATTTGTATTGTTATAATTATCAAAAGGGCAAATTTTCCATGAATTGTTTAAGTTCTGATTTACATACTCTTCTCTCCTTGAACTCACCTTTCAATAGTCGTTCATCATCATGCTCAGTGCGAATATGGGTTAGGCGTCCCATGCTCCGGAATATTGCAGCATCTCTGCCCCAGTAGTCGCTATAGAGTCCAGCAAACAATTCACTGCCTACATGGAAATAGTTAAAAGTAAGTCAATATATGTCTCTGGATCATCAGTCATAACTGCACTAAACATATCCAGGTTTACTTTGTATAAGATCTTATAAAAATAATATTACTTTTAAGGGCATGGATGGTGCACTCAGAATGCCAGGATTCAATTCTGACTCTACCACTTATAAGCTCTGTGAATTTGGGCGAGTTACTGAACCTCTCTTTGCTTCAGTTTCCTCACTAATAAATAGAAACAGCAATCAAAGGATTGTTAAAGTAAAGAATGTGGCATATACTAAGATCTGTGTTAGTATTTATAAAAAAATCTGGTTTGATTTTACTTTACTAAATGGTTCACCTTCATAGTATCAAGGTAATATTATCATAAGCATTAAATGTGAGCTGGCTAACTAAAACCCTTTTAGTAAGGAGAAATTGCTTCCATTAACATGATTTTAGTGTCAGAACCACAAAATCTGACAAAGTTGTATATAATCTAATTAGTTGTCATTTAATTTGTAAGTTTGTGGTTTAGTTAGATAGGAATGAAATAGTCATAATTTAATCAGGCAGTCAGTAGAAAGAATGAAATCAGCAGTGATGTGTGGTGAAGGTTGCAGACTTAAAATCTGACCAAAAAATGAACAAGTTATGTTCGGGCTCAAGAAAGACAATGTGTTTTTGAAACTAGAAAGACATTAGAATAGCTTATGAAAAGGGAAAGATATTAGAAACATAATGTAAGGATATAACTGGAGTTCTAAAAAAGCCAACATCTCTCAAGCATAGGGAGTTGGAGTTCTATTTTCTCAAAGTGTGTCCATCATAGTACTGCCAGGGCTGTCCTGCTCACACACATCTCCACCGTCCTGTCCCAGGCAAAAATCTCTGACCAAGAAGCAAATGACAGCATCAGCACTGGCAACAGCAACCTCAGTTTAGGGTAGTACAATTAATTTCTTTTTTTTTTTTAAGTTTTTTTTATTATTTATTTATACAAGAACCGGGTACAGGCCGGATGTGTGGCAGGGTGAGAGGATTCACCAGAGACAGAGTGGGGAACAGAACAGGCAGACTGACTGAAATACACTGCTGAGGGGAGCAGTGTGCCAGACAGGAAAGGTTTGCCGTGCCATGTGGGTTGCTCCACTGCCAGTGGCACTGCAGAGGCTGTGTACAGCTTCACAACACTGTGTCCAGCCCCCTGCACCACCAGGGAGGCCCTACAATTACTTTCGTAATGAGTGTCATATAGCTTTGGTCAGATTTAAAGATCAATTTAGAGATGATAAGTATACAAAACTCACAATATTAATGTTTTTCTGTTAAACTTGGATATTATTTATAGGTGTATACTTAAAGTGGTTTAAAATTTACAAGAATTCAAACTATATTTGTATTCCCAATTCAATGAAGTTAATTGTATGATCAATTTTAGAATCAAAATGATTAAAGTTACATAAAGTATAAAAAATTGACAGACATAAGAAAAAGAATTTGAGAATCATATTTATATATTATATTTAGAAAATATTTAAATTTTTTAGAGAGGGTTTCAAAAATGTATGGTTTAATATAAATATATAAAATTTATATTAAATATAGAAATGTATGGCTTAAAATAAGAAAGTATCAACTATGTTGTAACCTAAGGAAGTTAAATTTCACCTTGAGTTAACTGACTCACTTTTTTAAAAAGTTAAGATGAATTTTTTTCACACCAGAATTAGAAATAGAATAATGAGATTTAAATTGAACTGAAAGTCTTTAAAGAAACAAAGTTTCAAAAATGTCCTGTAACAAGCTATTTTTCATTTCCAAAAAGACAAGTAACTGTACATAGTTGTTCTTTGTTTTTGTTTTTTTTTTTTTTGGTTCACAAAATCCACTATGGATGCTTAAAAAAAAAAATCCAGGTTGGGCCTCCCTGGTGGCACAAGGGGTTAAGATGCAAGCTATGAAGCTCTCCATAGCCACTGCAGCGTGAGTTCAATCCCTGGCCAGGGAGCGACCCACATGGTGCAGCAGACCTCTCCTGACTCACCTGCTGCTTGCCTCAGCAGTGTATTTCAGTCAGTCTGCCTGCTCTGTTTCCCATTCTGTCTCTGGTGAATCCTCTCACTTCCCCACACCTCTGGCCTTTACCCCAGTTCTTGTATGTATAAATAAGTAAAATCTTTTTTAAAAAATTCAGGTTTTCCACAAAGGAATTCACTCTTAAAGTATATACATTATACATTAGAGAAATACAGATCAAGTGAGTGAGCAGGAGGGGGTAGAGGAGAGACAGTCACTGTGGTAGAGTATTAATAACTGGTGAATCAGGCTATTATCAATAGCATATAGGTGTAAATATTGCTCCTCTTTTCAATTTTTCTTTATATTTGAAAGTTTTCAATATCAGCTAAAAAAGTCTTATTTGTTGAATTCATCCCACATATTTAATACATGCTAAATGAGAGGTGTGATGAGGAAAATTACATAAAAATTAAAAAATAAAAGAAAAAAGTTGCTTTATATCTGGACTTAAAATATAATTTGTTAGAGGAAAATTGTAACAGAATTCTTATATAAACTTGTTCTTATTTAATCAAATTCTTGGGGAACAGAAAGGGAAGGGAGCAAAATTAATTTATTATTTTGATTAGTATTTTCTTCACCAGGAATTTTGCATTTATATGTGGAGAAATAGCACGTTGAGACAAAATACATTCAGTAGTTAGGGATTTGAACCATATATTTGATTCAGTTTGCACAATTTGAATATAGACAGAAGAATCATGTTAATTCATTAAATGGCCTAGGGGGATTGCCAACTCTATGACAGAAATGAAGGAGCTGACACATAAAGGAGTTAATTGACTTTCTGAACACCAGAGTAAGGATTTTTCTGAAATGTTTTTGCTTTTAATCATTATAAGTTGATTATTTTCCATCAAAAAGATAAAGACCATTTTGTAAAGTTATTCTAAACATTTTCTAATATGACTTGAACTGAGAGGTATCACAGGCTCAAAGAATATGTTTATTAAAAAATCATGATAGCTTTCTTGCTTAAATGTTAAATATTTAAAACTTTAGGATATTTAAAAAATTCTGAAATATTTCTAAGACTGATATCTATATTATTATTGTTGCTATTATTATTAGAAAATAATCTTTATAGTAGTTCACATCCATTTTTCTGCACTTACCCAATATGGAATACAGTTTCAAAGTTTACTTGCTTTAATCAATGCTATAAACTTAACAAACAAGTACTCTCAGAGGCCACTAGATGGCAACCCCATGATACCAAATAATGCCATATCCAGGGCAGATAATCTACACAAAGAAAATGATACATTACTAATTTTATTTAATTTCCCTTTTTGTAACCAGATAGAAGAAAATCATTTGTGAACAATTCAAGAAACACAATCTGAACTATATGACTTAAACTTCAAAGATGCTAAATAGGTGTTATAAACTATAAGGTACCAAAACTGAACCAAATGTGTTTCTGTTGGAAACATTTTCCTCAGAAGGGAAAGATTCTCCTTTCATATATTATTTTCATTTTGAAGAAAAATATATATAGCAACAGATAAAAATGATGTTTAGCAAAATGCTTTCCTTAGAAAAAAGAAAGATAAAACATTAATGAAAAATAATACATTAGAATAAAACTGTAGGCAAAAATGCTACTTACTAGTAGTTAAGTGAGCAAAAATACTGAGCATTGTATTAATTGCCACTATTTACAGTAAATACATCATTTCTGACTAAAATTTATTTATTATTATTATTTTTTAAAAGCTTGGTTTATTTTCTTTTTTTTTTTTTTAAATTTATACAAGCACTGGGTACAGTCAGAAGCGCAGGAGGGTGAGAGAATTCAACAGAGCCAGAGGGGAGAACAGAGCAGGCAGAGTGACGAAGTACACTGTTGAGGGGAGCAGGAGGCCAGACAGGAGAGGTCTGCGCACCATGTGGGACCCTCACCGGGTGGCCAGGGATCCAACAGGCACTGCAGAGGCTGAGGGGAGCTTCGCAACCCAGCGCTCAACTGCTGCGCCACCGGGGAGGCCCTCTGACTAAAATTTAATGTTAAAATTAAAACTATTTGGTATAGTTAGACAAAATTAGTGAGTGAATATTTTACTATTTTACAGAATGCAAAAAATAGCTGGATAAATCATGTTTTCATGGATTGAAAAAACTTTCACACACAGAATAAAATATGTTTTAGAGTTTCAATGATAAGAGCAGAACTGAGTTTTTAGCTTTCTCTGTCTTTAGAGATACGATATTTCATAAATTTATTTTATCTTAACCATAAATTTAGCTGGTATCTAAGCTATTTTGATATTCTGAATATAAAATAAGCAACTTGATTTTTATTATTTTTCACTCTTATTTTATGGTTTCTGATGGAAATTGATGTTTATTGATTTTAGTTGATCAGGTGTGGTTATAATTCAAAAGTAAAAAAGCACATCTGCATGGTATTTTGAAGGTAAACGCAACTTAGTATTATAATCAACAATATTCTCCATGTACAGATCAAAGAATAGTGGAAATGGTTCTGTTTGGGGAAGATGGGAAACTAAGCTCTCAGCCTGGAATCTGTTGCTTGACATGGGCAAAACTGTACTATTGCTCTTCGTCTTGGTTGTCTGGAGAATCAGAGAGCCCTATGTGTGATTTCTGGAGTCTGTCAAACTTATATGTTCTCTCTGCTGCACATTTGCCTAGAATTGTTAGTTATTTCCATTTTTTTGGCTATTTCATTATTCCATGAAACTTTCAGTAATTTTTGAGCAAACTTTTGTTAGTTTAGTAGTCATAGTACCACCACAGTCCTCATACCTATTTGTAACATATTGTTCATCCTACCATGTTAACAGACTCTGTGTGCACTTGGCTTTATGCCTCACTACAGTGTAGGCTTTTTGAAGTGTCCAATATGTTCTTTTGTCTGAAATACAGAAAATGCTCAATAGACATGTGTTGAGTCAATGGATGGTATAT